CCACAAAATGAAGCATCCACACCAGAATCAAAGAACATGAGAGAGACTGCAGACTAAAACAACCAGAAAAATCTGCATAGCTGAACATGCCCTGAAACAAACTGGACATGAAATTCTATTCCAAAATACTGAAATACTGGACAACACCAGCAATCATTATGTCAGACTGCACAGGGAAGCCATTGAAATCCACAAGCACCAGCAAAACTTCAACAGAAAAGAGGAAAGTGTGAAGCTCAACAAAACTTGGCTCCCAGCTCTCAAAAATACAGCGTGCAAAAGGTCAACGAACTCTACCCAGCCACAAGGACAGGGGATCACTACACACAAAAGACCAGCTAATAACACCCATCAACCACAGGAACAGATAATCTCTTCTCCTTAGCACAACAATATACCCACAACAATACACACTAATCACCCATCTACAGAAAAAGACAAAAGCTTATCTCACAGCCATAAATACTACACTCCCAAAGCCAACTACACCAGAGCACAGAGTGCTGTCCTCTGAAGATGCCGACCACAGAGACTGGCGAAAGATTAGGAAGAACAATATTCAGAACACAACCAAAGAACCCAAAAAACCCACAACAACCACTTACTTTTTTTGTTCATTTAAAGTACTTTCTAACCTACCCTCAGTCAGTGGATCTTGTAGCAGGGCACTATTAATAATATCACCCCTCAGATATTGCAGACACTTTGGACGGTTTAAAGCAATATAAAACAAAATCGTTGGAAACAACAGACCAAAACAAGAAAAGTAACGGATAACATGGAAACTTACCGGACTGTGAACTCATTTTGCAAAAATCCAAATATATGTTTCGGTTGAAACCTTTCCCTGTTTTTTAATCAGACTTTGGGGTGGTTAGTGGTTGCTTTCTGATTTTAGTTTGTTTAGTCCATCACAATTCCCCCCATCTCTTTTGCAGAAGGAAATGACATCAAGGATGTGCCGCTGACGTCCTGGGAGGCTTCCTGCTCCTCCCCATTTCTTGGGTATTCCCTTTTTCTCAGGACTGTGGAACTCCTCACCACCAGATAATCCCTTAGCTATCTAATGTGACCATTTCCTTTTAATATAATAAAAACAAGAGATGTGTGTCTATATATATATTAAATGAGATGTTTTTACAATTCATTAGAGCACCTCATTAAACTCTTCTGATTATTGACAGAGAAATATATTTTTAAAAGAGAATTTAAGATGCATTAGGAAAATACCACTATTTAAGATAAGGCGCTAAAGTCACCTTTTCCCTTGCAGGGAATTGTGTGGTTTTTGAACATTTCTGTTTTCGGGGGGGGGGGGGCACTAAAGTCACCTTTTCCCTTGCAGGTAGAGCAAACTCACTGGGAGGCTTAATAGGTTAACGGCGGCCACTGGGTTTAGACTGATGTGTTTTTAGGGTTTTAGGGTCACAAGATCTTGTCTGTCATCGCCCTACCCTTTGGCAAATAGGATCCTGACCGACAGTATGGAATTTGAGGCCCAGTTCTCTTCTAGCTTCAGGGATCCCACGTTGGGAGAGGGCTGCGTCAGCCAAATTGCTGAGCCGAGGGGGCAGGTGGGTTTGTAAAGGGCAGCTTATAAGGGGATTTAGGCAACGGGTTGGGAATAGATGTGTTAAAATAAATGAAAAACAACACTGAATCAAGTGTCATTAGTGCTCTTTCCTCCCCTTGATGTCTCTGATCTCCAATCTTAAAAGTGCATATGGGGAGGTGTAACTGGGGGCTGGCGGGTGTGTGTGATTG